ACAATGACGGAGTGAATTAACCACTGCAGTTAGAGAAAGACCCTGCATTGAGGGTATTGTATGGTAAATATTTTAAATTCACTACTTTAAAGTGCTTCCGCCGCCCGTACTGTACGTTACATGTTTACGAGAATAAGCGCGTCTAGGATCGTGTGAGAGAAAGTTAGAGGGCTCAGCCGCTGGGTGCGCATGGATTGAGTCCGCTTATGCCTAATCACCGTAGTCATTTGGACTTGCTTACGTAAGTGTATACCTGCATGTAGACAATGCAGACAGAAGACGCTTTGCAAGACATGACTGACGGTGAGTTTCGCAGTGAATTGAATACGTTTAACAGTTCGACCTCCCTGACATGACCTGACTTAACAAGTGCAAAACAATAACATGTTATAGTCATCCCGTCACTGTCGTCACTGCGTCGTTTCACACGTACAGACGCTGATTACTATTAAGATGTTAACGTTTAAACCTACCACCATCCAGACAGTTAAATCAAACTACTTCAGCTCAAGGCTAATCGAGAGGAGTCCTTTTTACGTAACATGCCATAAAGACGTCAGACCGTCAGCTGGCCGCATACGAGAAATCTCACACGTCTCTGCGGTATGAGTAGGATACAATATAGTGATTCATAAAATCTGTCAGTGGACTTGAGTCATATTATGAATGTTTTTAGGAACATTTTTTCCACTCTTCTTTGAAATTTGTGTATATGGCCTCCCCATCTATGCGCAGATTAATGCATAAATCGTCGGAGGGGGTGACCTATAAAAACTCTCTACCTTCCGTATACGGACAGAAACCGATGATGCGTACCCTTCAATGATTGATGCATCATTTGGCGCCTAGATTCAAACGTCATGCACATGAATCGCAAAAGGAGATAAAACGATTGCTAATTTACTTCATGTAAGCTATATTTAAGCTATTTCGATTTTCAAAACGCCAAATATGCACCAAAGACAAAATTATTCTAGGAAAATATGCGCCAGCGGATATCATTTCGCGGCTATCATTATTGGCCAAGCATGTGTCGTCTTTCCGCACCGCCAGTTATCTACGCCCAACTGTGCCATCTGGAAACGTGTGGGTTTATGCGGCATAGTACCAATTGCTAATTAAGTGTTTATGAATAACTATCGGTCCCCTAAGTATTCCCTTGAAAAAACATGGCGTGTAAAGAAGTCGCTCCATGATCTGGGTAATCCTAGCTCGTTTAGATTACACACAAGCTTTTATTACAACGCTAAGTACGGGGTTTTGCACATAGTGCATAGGTAGATACACGGGTCATTGAGATAGAAGACCAACAGTGTCTAGTGATTATGACTTGTAAAACTTTGTCGCAGACTGCCTATTCCCGACAAAAAATCCATAAAAGAAAACAGAGCCTTTGTGGCCAAGTCACGTAATACATAACTTTTAAGGACATTTTGAAAGATGAAATGTATCTATAGGACGCATGTCACCACCGGAGCATTTAAAAATGCCTGAACCGCAAGTTTTGCGAGAATCGACAGAGCAGATCGTCTCCATTTATTCATTTTTCGCAGGGATTCCATGACATTTTGCAATCTCTCAATGTCAGCTAAGCTGGTAAACTGCAGCCCTGTAGCTCGCAACATTCGTCGAGCTCTTCCGTCGCCGTAAATATAGTGTATTTCTGCTTCTGCAACAACATTCTCCAGATCAGCGTAGATGAGGTCTTTCATCAGATACACGCTATGCATACGCGGTTTTGTCTGCAATGAAACAAAGAGAAAATTTCCTGTTTGTCATACATAAAACAACCTGCATACGTTTAGACAAGTGTTCAATGGGAACTTGCTGCATCAGTGGCGTTGTCAACAGTCCCAAAATTAGCATGCAATGTGAGTGATAACTACTACTTAATTATGTCACAGGTAAGGCGATGCTGGTCGACTTTGAATATACGGTAATTATAACCAGCCTCGAAGAAGTCTGGCACAAAAATATATCTTCTCTCAACATGTCGGTCGTCTTACGGTAAACCGTTGTTCTTATCTTCTCACATGCCGGTTTTACAACTTTAAGGTCAAGTAGGTGCAAATGATTGTTGACGTCTTCGCCGCCGGCGGCGAACACATCCCCCGGGAGATAGGATTTTGGTTCCGAACGCAGACAGACGCAAGCCCGTGGTGAGGGCGCCTGAGAGTGGCAGAGACCTCCCACCTGACGGCAACGCTGACATGATAACCACCGTCCACAAGGGCAGGGGCAGGTGCGAACAGGACAGGAAGGCGAGATGCGTGGAGGGCGCACAACGGACAGTCCAAACAAGAGCAATGACCGCGGTCACCCTGACACCGCTCCCCTTCCCACACCAGACGATGGATGAGGAAGAACCGATGCCGTCATGACAAAAATGGCCTAACATCCTGATGCGCGCGCTGAAAGTCAGTGGCATGCCAGCGCGAAGGCAAAAACCTTAAATACTGTGGTGTGCAGTACGCAACCCACCTCCGATGATGGAAGCTTGTCTGCTTTTGAAACGTCAGGTAAATCAACCCACTTTTCCTGCGATCGCCTTATGTTTTTACGTTATATCCAAGGACACGCATTTTCCCTTCAATCAGCAATATATATATATATATGTGTATTAATTTAAGACAAATTCTATGTACGCATACCGGATATTTTATTCATCTTATTGCACAGGCACCAGCCACAAGTCCAGACAGTTGTTTTACCTACATTTTGTCATTGAACGATGTCTTTGCAAGGAATGTAGCTTAGTGTTGGTCGTTTTAGGATTCTGTGTTTGCCTTGTGTTATATGCCAGTCAACAGGTTAGCTCTTTTATTGCAGAAGTAAACCTAATATCATGCAGTACATCACATGGAAGGAAACAAAATGGATCTTTACAATTTCTATACGGGAAAGTGATCCAAACTACACCAGTATGAGAACGATATCCATGAAATATTCATTAATTGTCGACAGGCAATCTAGCGCACTGAAAAGTTTGCAAAATTAACCGTACTACACCTGTTTTATCCTTACTCTTCAAGTTGGCACCTATCCAAACATGTTTACTATTCTCCGCACAACGGCGTCCGTCTCGTTTATGTAAACTCAATGTCCGCCCAGCTCCCTTGTGCTATAGTCGCCCTAAAAATTATCTTTCGCCGGACGACGGGTTAGTGTTGATGACTTAAAAATTCACGAGTTTATTTAGATTTTCCGACAAGGTTCTCCTTTAAATATAAACATGTATATATAATGGTAGGGGGCGCTCACCGATCGTTCCTAAGGAACTCACTCGTTCCGTTGTGCCGTATAGGCTCTCTCTGGAGCACAACCAGCACCTGCCCAGCGGCGCATGGGCATTTCTGGCTTATCAGCCGTCGTCAGCCATCCATACCCAACCCCGAAGTGTGGAATACTCAAAGCTCGAACTCGCGACCTGTGATTTAGGAGTCAACGACTCTAACCACTGGGCCACGAACCCGTTGCTTTGTCGTTTTCGATCGGGAATATACAAAGGCAGGGGGCGCTCCAGAGAGAGAAAGCCCATTGGACACAACGGAACTAGTAATTTCCGCAAGAACGATCGGTGAGCTGATAAAGACTTGAAACGTGTCGAGTCTATCTCGATTTTCCGACGAGCTTCGCCATTTAATATATATATATATATATATATAATGTAGAATAGAAGTGGTAGGGATTCCGAGACGATATAATGAAAAAGGAAGAGGTTCTTTGGAAAAAATCGAGTTGTACTCGTGAATTTTCGAATTAGTGACACCAACCCGTCGTCAGACGAAATGAAGAGAAAAGAGAGAGTGAGACAGTCACGCTAGACTAATAGACGAGACAGGACAAACATTGGCGGACGAACCATTAGCGTGCGAGGAGGGATGCGGGTAGGGAGTCATGCTGGGTTCTGAGCCGGGAGGGTAGGAATGGGGGGGGAACCGTTACGGCTGCCGTGTTGGAGGGGAGGGAGAATGGTAGGTTGGCAGAACTGCGGGCACCTGGATTAGCGGCTGCTGATGCGGCGTGGGGCTCGGCTTAGTGAGGCGTGATCTTGGGAAGCTTGATACGCGTCAAGTCTACACTTAAAGGAATTCACATCGGTAGGCAGGACATTCCACGCTGCAGCCACGCTTTTACTGCAAATGAACTTTCTTGTATTGATCCTTGCTTTCCCGGCGCGAATCTTTAGGGGATGACGGCTGAAAGTGGGCGTGTTAGCTTGTGTAAAATAATCAGTGGGATCTAAACAGCAGTCTAGGCTGTTGATAATGCAAAGTGTTATTCTGATCTCACCACGTAATTGCCTTAGGAACGTGGAGACCGATTGAGAGTAGACAGTCTGCTTTCTTAAAGCAGCCCTCCCAGAGCTTCTGTCATTTTGGTCGCCCGTCTCTGGAACCCTCTTTAAAACGGTATGGCCTTTGGCAGTCCAGGGTCTCCACGCCTGTAATGCGTACTCTAGCTGAGGCCGAACGTAGGTGCTAAATATTGTGGAAAAGCAGTCTGTGTCAAATCCCGTTTATGCTCGATTAATGAGTCGCCGTGCATCCATAGCCGATTTAAGCAACTTCGCGCAGTGTAGTATTGGTTTGAGTGAAGATATTATCCAAGTCCTTCTGACTGTCAATCGGTTGCATTGGTGTGCAGTGTAGAAAGTAAGTCCTAGGACTGGAGGCTCTGAAGCTGCCGAGTTGAAGAAAGTTGCACTTGCTTATATACAAGGGCATAAGCCAGCGCTTCGAACAGTCTTCGAGCCTGTTTAATTTTGCTTGCAGGTGGTCTGCGTCTGCCGCATTGTGAATAACTTTCCACAATTTTATGTCGTCGGCAAACAGGATGGTATCACAGTCTAAGTCCTTCATGCAGTCATTTATGAAAACGAGTAATAACGTGGGACCTAGGACTGAGCCCTGTGGGATGCCACTCACCACGCTTACCTCTGAGGACTGTTGACGCCCGACCTGCACTCTTTGGGACCATCCAGCCAAAAAGCTCTGGATCTATACAAGAAGGCGTCCACAAATTAAAGCGTTGCGCAGTTTGTGCAAGAGACGTTGGTGGGGAACGCTGTCGAAGGCCTTTTTGAAATCGATGTAGATGGCGTGCACCACACTACCTTCATCGCGTGCTTTGGTCCAGCGTTTGAGCGTAAAGAGCAGATTCGTGATGCAGGACCTATCACTTCGAAAGCCGTGTTGTGCATCAGAGAGGGGGTGGTGCTGCTCAAGGAACTGCATCAAGGCCTTCTTAATGATCTTCTCCATGGTTTTGCAACAGATGGAGGTATGACTCACTGGCCTGTAGTTATTCGCAGACGCACGACTTCCGCTCTTAAAAAGCGGAGTGATGGTAGCGGACTTCCAAGCAGAGGGCAGGCATCTAGTAAGAAATGATGTTTGGAAGATCAAGGCTAATGGCTTGGACATTTCGGGAGCTAGCTCCTTCAGCAGCTTGGCGGGGACTGCATCGGGGCCTGGGGAGATCAATTCTTTCAGATTAATTAACTCTTTCCGAACAATTGCTTTGGTGAAGAATACGGCTTCAAGGGTAGGCTTTTCTTCGTCTTCACAAATGGGGGAGAGAAAATTAGGTTCACTTGTCACGACGGACGGGAAAAACTGAGAGAGGTGTTGAGCCTTATCCTTGTCATCGGAGATTTTCATTCCCTCGGCTGTTCGCAGCAGTGGGATGGGGTCTTTGTTCCGCGTGCTCTGTCTTATGTAGCTGTAGAGGACTTTGGAATTAACCCTGGCACGGTTGAGAATATCCTTTTCAAAGGCCTTCCGATCTCTAGCGATGAGAACTTTGACGCGATTTCTCTGAGACTTATAACTGCTTAGGGATTCTGGCGTCCGGTCAGTCAGGGATCTTTTTCACAGCTTCCTATTTTTGTTAACCTCCTTATTTAAGAACGGAGTCAGCCAGCGGGGTCTATTTGTTAGTCTTCTGTGCATGATTGGGCAATGATTGGAGATGAGGTTGTGGACTAACTCTTTGAACTGACACCAAACCTCTTCGACATCGCCGGATAGAGTGGATGCCCAGTCGATAGGACTTAGATCGCTTCTCATCTCATCGAAATTTCCGCGCCAAATATTGGGTCGGGAATCAAGCGGTTGAGCAGGCAGGGAGAATAAGGTGTATTCCCACATGAGAACTACATGGTCACTCTGACCCAACGGGGGGAGGCAATTAACAACGTCGATATTGTCGGAGGACTTGGTGAACACCAGATCAAGGCAATTCATCTGTTGGCCCTCTCGAACTCTCGTTGGCAACATTACGTGTTGGGTAAGAAGCAGATTGTCGGAGGTACGCAGTAACTGCTGGTCGAATGCTGCTTCAGAGCAGTCGGCTGAGGCCGAGCTCCAGTTTATGTGAGGTGCATTAAAATCTCCAACGATGAGAGTAGCCGGTCGCATTGAAAATAGCCTAAGCTCCTCCAGCAGTTTTGCATCAGCGTCAGGGACATTTCTCGGGGGGCGATATACTGTCAAGATATCGAGACTTTGAGAGCCCGGTGCCCTTATGGTCAGCCACAACGCTTCCGTACTGCAAGTCAATAGGGCAGTTTTTTCTGAAACGTATAAGCCAGTTTTAGCAAATGTTACTATGCCTCCACTCCTCCTGTTTTGTCTGTCTCTGCGGAACAGTTGACATCCAAGGAGCATGAGTTCTCTATCATCCATCTGTTCGGAAAGCCATGTTTCTGTTATTGAGATAACGTCTGGCTGGAGGTCATGGGTAAGGATACGAAGTTCATCCAGTTCAGAAAGTACACTTTGCGCGTTGGTATACATGAATATGAGCTTCGAATTCATGCGTGATTTTTTATCAACCCCGACACAGGCTACCGTGGTATCTGTGCGGTCATTCGGATCGGCTTGATCCAGAGGGGAGCGGAATGTCGTTTGACTATCCGGTCGTTGTAGACTGTCAAGTCTTTTTCGCCGTTGGTTTGTCGTGTTCTCAACTCTAGGACAAGTTCTCGGCGTTTCATTCTCTCGGCAGGTGAATAGACTGGCTGCAAAAACACTCCTTTATGGGAATGTTTTAGTCAAAAACGTCTGGAAAGGATTAGTTTCGCCTGCTCATTGCTACCTAGGACACGTTTCAGGGGTCTTGGTCGTGTCTGCGGAGCGGCGGTTGTACGGCTACCACGACGAAACGCCTTTACGACTGTGACATCTTCTTTTGGTTGCAGCATTTCATTTCGGAGTTTCTGGAATTGCTCTAAGTCAGCAGCGGCTCGTTCCCTGGGGGTACTGGCGGAGGACTCTGGCAGGCCCTGAATTATGATGCAGTGATCCTTGTTAAGCATTCCTCTGTGTTCTGCGGTTTGGACGTCGTTGACCGGTCCGTTGCCCTCGTTGAAGTGGACTGACGAAAAGGAAGGGACTGTCATATTGGTATTTATGTCCCCGTGAAGTTTGTCCGCGGATTTTGTTGAGGCATCATGAATAGTTGCACGATGTGGTTGATCGGCAATGCCTCCCATCAGAGGGTTCTGAAGAGAGCTTGACCCCCATGAATTAGAGGCTTCCTCGGCTCGGTTCTCAACTCTGTCGACATGGGAATTCGCGGTGGCAGCTAATTCCACCGTGGGTCCATAATCATATGTCATTGCGCTAATTGATAAGCCCTCTAAGTTAGGCTCCGGAAATGAGCACATTGTATGGGGATTTCTACGGTTGGGCGTCAACTGCTCCTTTCCTTTCACTTCTTCTGCTGGCACATTTACGGTCGTTTCGTTTTTCAACTGCTTTTTGGACAAGACCGATATGTTTCTTTCGTATTCTGGCGACTTTTACCCGTGGTGTTAGGTGTAGTCTTCTTCTTATTCTTTTTTTCATCGGATGCCACTATTTGCCTACTAACAGCAGTTGTCTTATTCACCACATGATTGCTTTCTGGGGATTCTTTAAACTGGATGGCTCTCGCTCTACTCCGAGTTAACCTCTGCGTAGATAACCCCGGGGGGGCCTCTGAAGAAACAGTTTTGTTAATAAATTCCTTCAGATTTCTTACTTCTTCCTCTAGTTGATGCATCTTGTAGGCTATCGTTTGACAACCATTGCATGAATATCCTACGAGATCCTGTGGTGACAAATTAACAAAGCTTTTAGCTGTGTGCTCCGGTCGCGTGGCGATAGTGCAGGGGTTAGCGGAGCTGGCTCTAACTTTTGAGGTCCCCGGTTCGAACCCCGAGTGCGCGTTACTTTGAAACACTGGTGCGGACTCCAACATTCTGGATAACTTTTATATATACACAAAGAGCGCAGGCCAAAGTATGAAGAAAAGGCTTTTATGGCGATCTTTCGGTAGAAAGTAACTCCATATGGTATGGTCGAGAAGCTTCCGAGGGCAAAAATTTAGACAAATACTTTGAGACGACGATGAAACAATGTCTAATAGGGGAAAAACAACTAAGCCTTTGTAGAAGCTTCGGATGTATTGTTCTGCAGATAATCCGTCTGTCTGGGCTTGCAAGTTGTAGAAACGAGCCCGGCCGAAATCGGAGTACTGTGAATGTGCTGCAGAAGACTAGATGGGAGGACGATGTTGATGAGTCGAGTTTAGGTATAAATTCCGTCTTAATTGAGGCTCTAAGGACGTACAGTAATTCGAATTCTCGAAGAAACTAAATTCCGAGAGAGGGCGAAAATTCGAAACCAAATTCGAAGTGCGCCCCAACATTGCGTTTTACGGACAGTATGGTGGGCGTCTATTGCACTGCTTAGTTTAAATGTGACATCTACTTTATTAGTCAAGGCGGTATTAGTTAGTTGCATACAACAGAACGTAATAGAGATTTTGATCACAGGAAATATTTTACTTCTACGGCTTAATACTAACTGGTTTTTCGTATATTAGACAAAGTCAAAGGCAAATTTGCGTGAAAAGATCCGACAGTATTCTAAAGTTTGCGCATCACGCGTTGTTTTCTGACAGCATCTCTTGATAAACTATTCGTGCGAACGATTTACCTGTTATCAAGTAGACCCACTTGACTGTATGCGAGCGTTAATCTTTTGACATATTAAAAACATCGTTTCAAAGCACGAGGTAAAAGATGAACTACAGGACAAATTAGGCGAATTTCGGTTGTGCAGAAACAACTAATTGGTCATATTTGTCATATTATGGGCCCTATGCTAGGACAGTAAGAAATTATTCCTGGAACATCCCTGCCAATAGTAGTTTAGAACATTCTACAACTCTGTCATGCACAAAAAAGTATTTTTATAAAAGAATTTATTATGTGGCCATATAGGAGGGTGCATTCCCTCTTCCAAAGGAATCACGACCAGAAAATTATAATTTGTCCGATGTTGCTCCGTCGATGACGCTTCCCATTATGTCAGTATAGATATCATAATAGGAGGACCGAGGCACAGAGCTATACTGAGATAGAGAGTTTTATGGGCAAAGTGTAGTTAATACGTGTAAAGTCAAAGTCTGTCCGTATTTTGGATAGCTCTGCGTACTAAATTTAACTTAAGTACGCAGGATAGTCTTGATGATATACACCGTATACCTACTAATTATTTATCTGCTGGACGATATGCTTTAGTCTTCCCAACTTGTTGAAAGTATCTAATTACCTTCTCTGCGGAGGCCTTCCTGACTGTAGTGTACAATTGAACTGTTGCCGAGTAGTGAGGTGCCATTTAAACATGTCGTTCAATCTGCATTGCGAGTTGTGTTACTTGAAGAACGTCCTCCGCATTATTTGTTATAGGTACAGCTAACATGCCTACGTATTCCTTTTTAAAAGTTACTAGAGGGGTTATGCCTGAGCATATTAAATCTAATCGCATATAATCGAAATACGCAAATGCCAATTCTAAAATCGAAAACACCAAACATCACATAACAGTAGGCAATAATACTTTTCTGAATTTAATGTTTTGGGAAATGTCGCCCGATTACATAGATGTCTCCCTCTACGCAAGCATTTGTGCCTCAATAAGAATTCGTATGCACCTACGACCTGACAGACTGTTTGAGAAATCCCCAACAGGTGGACGCATGAATTTCGGGCTGATTGGTTTTGTACAGATTGAAGCAGAGCGTTATTTGCAATCACATTTGAGCTGCAGACCACAGCGAACTTAGTTTCGGTTCATATACGTTTTGCAAGAGTTCGAATGAGTATAGTTGACACAGACGTGAAAAACTCGGCGCCTCAGTGGAATTCGAAACCGCGCAGTAAGGGGGAGACTCGAGTTTAGCCAAAGCTTTAACCACTTCAGTTACCAGATCCCGCCGGACGGCACGAATTTACTCACATTTGTGTCACCTTACCCGCTTAACATAACCAACTTGACTCAAATTTGATTAAACTCGCTTTGTCCTGCAATAGGTAGAAGTGGTTGTTGCCGAAAGCTTAAACACCTCATAAACTTAACGATTTCGGCTCACGCCTATATAGTTTACTCGGGAAGTAGTGAGTATCCCCACAAAAGAATGCTTCTGAAATTAGGAGAAATGCATTCATATAAACAACGTCCATATTGCAAAAATGCCTTGTTTATGTTATAAGGGGATAATGCAAATTAACATCGCTCTGCTCCATGTCGACTTACCGTATAACACAAAATACAAAAATATTTCTATTAAAGGGTCAATTAAACTGCAGCTCAAAATGTTCTTACGTGTACAATGAGCTGCAAATCTTGATGGGGGCATAACAGCTCGTTTCTATTAAAAATAATTAAAAATATGCTTGTTTCTGAAAAATAAGTGAGACACTTGTAAAAGTCCCCCTCCGATATTCGTCCGTTCTCCAATGACCACTAGTATAACGAGGATTTGCATATCAACTGGGAACAAACAGAGAGTTTGTTTAGGGATTTTAAATTGCTGCGTTTGGAATTGTATTTTTTGCTGGTTAAAAACCGAAAGCACATTGCGAGGTGTAGATTGGAGTTGGCAATTTAAGATTATGAACCTTAATTAAGTCCAGTTTGTGCATTCAGGCTAAGCTTCAGATGTGGATTTATCAAATCGCCCTATCATACCCATGCTGACAGTGATACAATGCGCGAAACATCAGTTTGGATACCTGCCCAACAAAACGAAGTGCCAGGCTATTTGTGTCTTTTATGTGATATCATGTTGTTTGAAAAAAACGGTTTACTGAGAAAGACATTGACATATGTCGACAAGGTTCATGCAAGTTTACTTGGCGGCAGTTCAAAAGGTCATTTAAATCAGCTGAATCAGTCAAACATACACAAATAAAATAACTACTGTTTAACGGACTTAAGGATTGCAAATTGAGAGACCTGAGACCTGATCGATTCAATTAGAGTCTTTTGGAGCTTATGTTTGAAGGTTTCTTTTCGGGCGACTTACTGGTCAGATGTTGGAAAAGAGCATGTTTAGTGTTCCATAGCATTTATGGACAGTTTAAGTG